TCTTTAATTTACCCTAACTTCCTGATTTTTAGGGAGTGTATGGAACTGAATTCTACTCTACCCAAACTATTTATTTTTTTGCTATTCTAATCTGTGTACAGGCAGACATTTCCTTAGTTACTTCAGAGATACTACAACTTTAAATCCTCAAAACTATCCTGTAAGATTAATACTCTGATTTGCTTTTAAAAATGAGAAAACTATGATTCACAAACGTTACATAACTTGCCCAGAGTCACAGCTATTATGAGTAGAATAGGAATTTAAATTAGCCAACTATGTCATCTCCTGAAGCTTGCGTTTTTTTTTTTTTTTTCTTTTTCCCACATCTTTCTCAAAATTCACTTTGTGTCAGGATGGCTTTCCTTATTCCATAATGAATCTATTCTTTTTAAAAATATTTTATTTATTTATTTGAGAGGTAGAGTTACAGACAGAGAGAGGGAAAGGTGGAGAGAAAGGTCTTCATTCCACTGGTTCACTCCCCCGGTGGCCTCAAAGGCTGGAGCTGAGCTGATCTGAAGTCAGGAGCCAGCAGCTTCTTCCGGGTCTCCCACGAGGGTGCAGGGCCCCAAGGCCTTGGGCCGTCTTCTACTGCTTTCCCAGGCACATTAGCAGAGAGCTGGATCAGAAGAGGAGCAGACAGGGCTAGAACCGGTGCCCATATGGGATGCCAGTGCCACAAGCAAAGAATTAACCTACTGCGTCACAGCCCCGGCCCCTGAATCTATTTTTTTTTTTCTTGAACTCCCATCTGCTGGACTCCCCTTCTTCCAACACCAGCAATGGCTGGGAATGGGCCAGGCTGAAGGGCGAGCCAGTCCAGGGATTCTACATGCAGGGCAGGAATTCAACCACTTGAGCTGTCACCATTGCCTCCTAGGATCTGCATTAGCAGCAAACTGGAATTAGGAGCCAGAGTGAGGCATCAAACCCAGGTACTCTGATATGGTATGTGGGTAGCTTCACTGTTAAGCTAAACACTTGCTCCTTGGATCTATTCTTACTTTCATTGTTTATGTGGCTGGCACTTCCTGCAGTTGTTTTACTCTTTTTCTACTTACCTAATTGTATATATCCTGTTTTTTTTTTTTTTAATATTACTTTATTTATTTTCATCTACTTGAAAAGCAGGAAGGAAGAGAGATCTTCATCCACTGATTCATCCCCAAATGGCTGCAATAGCCAGGATGGGCAGGAAGGAGTCAGGAGCCTGGGACTCCATCTGGGTGTTCCACAAGAGTAGCAGGGGCCCAAGCACTTGGGCCATCATCTGCAGCCTCCCTGGTACATTAAATGCTTGAAGCTGGATTAGAAGCGGAGGAACTGAGACTCAGTAGGGGATGTGGGTGTCCTAAGTAGGGACTCAGTTGGGAATGTGTGGCTTAACCTCTGAGCCACAATGCCTGCCCCTGTGTGTCCTTTCAGTCCAACTTAAATTTTTTGTATGCTTCTCTAAATGCCATTTGTTGTCTTTGTCTTCACTTTTGTAGCACTTTTGTTGTGTTACTCTATTTCTATAGCTTGAATGTGTTAGTCTTTTTTAAAATGTGTATTTGAAAGTCATAATAACAGAGAAAGAAGGACAAAGTAAGAGATCTCACATGGGTGCAGGGGCACAAGGACTTGGACCATCTTCTGCTGCTTTCCCAGGCCCATTAGCAGGGATCTGGATTGGAAGTGAAGCAGCCAGGACTCAAACCTGCACCCTTGTAGGATGCCAGCATTGCAGGCGACAGCTTAATCCATTTTGCCACAGTGCGGTCCCTAGATTTATTCTAGTTTTTAAAAATTTATTTTTTTCTACTGGAACTTCCTTGTATGCTAGCTTATGTTAATAATTAAAAATAAATTTAAAAATTTAGAATCAAATGTTGAGGAGAGCCCTATTTTTCATTTATAAGTTCTATTTCATTCTGCTTTTATCATGCTGTTAAAATCAGCTACTTTAATATGTAAATTAAATAATAATACCATCTTGAAAGACTGCCAACTTTTTAACCTAATTTCTCCTCACTGATTTTTAGAGTATTAGTCAGAATATGTGTATGTGACATATTGGAAATAATCTTTTATGTCCTTACCACAATTAAATATCAACAGTATGGGTAAATATATAATGGCTGATTGAACCAGCCTTACTCAGAATAAATTTAAGTAGTTTTGTTATTTTTTTTATTAAGATTTATTTTTTTTATTTGAAAGAGTTACAGAGAGAGGTACAGACAGAGAGAGAGGTCTTCCATCCTCTGGTTCACTCCCCCAGATGGCCACAGTGGCCGGAGCTATGCCAGTCCGAAGCCAGGAGCCAGGAACTTCCTCCGGGTCTCCCACTTGGGTGGAGGGGCCCAAGCACTTGGGCCATCCTCTACTGCTTTCCCAGGCCATAGCAGAGAGCTGGATTGGAAGAGGAGCAGCTGGGACTTAGAACCGGTGCCCATATAGGATGCTGGCGCTTCAGGCCGGGGCTTTAACCTGCTGCGCCATAGTGCTGGCCCCTTGTTATTTTTTTTTTGTTAGGATGACTACTATGCTTAAGTTGCAACAAAAGTTTTTTTTTTTTTTTTTGGTATAATACTAACATGAATCTAATTATTTTTCTTGTACGTCATAACTGTTAGTTTGGAATACCCACTTATTTATTTAGTAAATATATAGTAATTCCAGATGGTTACTTTATTGCTCTTTTCTACTCATTACTAATTTGGATTCAATATATTGTTGAGTTTCTCTCAGTTATTCTGTAGAAGAAGCATGTACAGTTTTCCCTGGGCTTAACTATTTTCTGGTCCTATGTATGTTATTTACCATTTTAATTCTAGTTTTATTTTCCTGAGTTAGATTGTTTTTCTGTGTAAACCTAATCTTTTTCCCCTCTTTTCAGTGCCACAGCATAGGATTGGATACGATGCTTTCAAAGGGATGACCCTGGTTAGAAATTTAAGGTTTAGTTCATGGTGTTCAGTGTTAATAGCTTTCTAGTTTTCAAGGTATCCCTCTAACAGATCACTATCTTTTGCAGTTGGTTTCTGTTAAATTTTGTATTTCTTTTTTTAATCATTAAATGACAGAAACAATTCAAATTTGGCAAAAAAGTATTTATTGGAAGGGTACTGAGTGATTCACAGATTTAAATTAAAAACTTAACAGGCTTTGGGAAAGTTGGAAACCAAGGAATACCTGTATAATTTTTCAGATACATGATTTAGTGTATGTCATTTTGAGGTCTCATCAAATGGTTAAACCCAACTTGATTTATTCTTGGTCTCAAACTCTAATTCCTGGGAGAGCAAAAATGAATTAGATTGCTTGCCTACACCTGTTGGTGGTGATAGTAGCTGATATTTGTATGGGTGTGGTAGTGGGTAGTATACAGTGTCACGTACTAGGCTGTGGTGCTGGAACAAATGACATTGGAATAAAGTGTAATTTTTCAAAGGAATAGAAGGGTTCTGAACAGACAAAAACAAGAAATACCCACTAAATGTATGCTTTTGTTACCCTATACAGACAGAAAAACATGTATTGAAAGCTAGGATGTTTATTCCTGTTATTTTGTTACAATTAAACAATATACAGCTGCACTTCCACCTAAGAGAAGACAACTCATAGCCCTATCCCACTGTTATAGCAATTCTGTTTGGCAATTAGGTGAAGTAATTCTTATAGAGAGTAATTTTATTAGAGGATGGTAGAAGCTAGATTGTAAGAAGTTAAAGCAAGGTTAAATGGTGAAAAAGAGAAACCAACAATTAACAAATTTAGAAATCATTTTCTTGTGTTAGATGACTTAAATGATAACCATACAGGTTATCATTTTGAGAGTAAAAGTAATTATTCTATCACTCTCAGCATACTTCCAAGACATTTGGTCACCTTATTTAAGTATTCTGGGGCCGGCGCCGCAGCTCACTAGGCTAATCCTCCGCCTTACGGCACCAAAACACTGGGTTCTAGTCCTGGTCGGGGCGCCGGATTCTGTCCCAGTTGCCCCTCTTCCAGGCCAGCTCTCTGCTGTGGCCCAGGAGTGCAGTGGAGGATGGCCCAGGTCCTTGGGCCCTGCACCCACATGGGAGACCAGAGAAGCACCTGGCTCCTGGCTTCAGATCAGCGCGATGCGCCGGCCGTGGTGGCCATTGGAGGGTGAACCAACGGCAAAAAGGAAGACCTTTCTCTCTGTCTCTCTCTCTCACCGTCCCCTCTGCCTGTCCAAAAAAAAAATTAAGTATTCTGTACCTGTGGAATTTTCTATACTGAGGAAATAATTGTTAATGATTATTTTTTCAGTAAAAATCACTATAATGATTTTCAGTGTCTTAGGCTAGATACTATCTTTGATACCTATTAATTACTATGTTGATTTTTGCCGGCGCCGTGGCTCAATAGGCTAATCCTCCACCTTGCGGCGCCGGCACACCGGGTTCTAGTCCCGGTCGGGGCGCCGGATTCTGTCCCGGTTGCCCCTCTTCCAGGCCAGCTCTCTGCTATGGCCAGGGAGTGCAGTGGAGGATGGCCCAGGTGCTTGGGCCCTGCACCCCATGGGAGACCAGGAAAAGCACCTGGATCCTGGCTCCTGCCATCAGATCAGCGCGGTGCGCCGGCTGCAGCGGCGGCCATTGGAGGGTGAACCAACGGCAAAGGAAGACCTTTCTCTCTCTGTCTCTCTCTCACTGTCCACTCTGCCTGTCAAAAAAAAAAAAAAAAAAAAAATTACTATGTTGATTTTTGGGGTAATTTTTTTTTATTAAAATGAAATTACATAGTAGAGAAATAATTATGCAGTGGAAAATAGAAATCTCCAAATTTGGAGTTTGTGCTTTAGTATCTTCTATAAAATACTGGATTATATAGTTTGACATAGTTAAATAACTTCAGAGAACCCATACTGTTTCTTAACATATTTTTCTTTACCCATATGTGTTGTCTTGTGTCATGGTTATTTTGCTAGTGTAGTACAATGCTGTCATCTGTTTATTGTGAAATTCTTTTTTCTTTTTTAGCTGACATCTGAAATGTTTGAAGCAGATCTTGAGAAGGCCCTGTTGCTAAGTAAATTAGAGTACGAAGAACACAAAAAGGTATTTACATTTTTGTTTATATAGATATGTTAGATGTTACGATCAAAGATAAGAACCAACCTTGGTGATTTTCTCATAAAACTGATTTAAAATTTATCCTGAAAACTCCTTGTAACAAAACATTACCAACAAATTTTCATAACAGGATTCCTTCTCAAGTTTTGAGAGACTGAAACCTGTGGACTAAGCCTTGTCTAATGATTTGGAGTATTTGGTTAAAGGGTTCATCCACCCAACATGAAGGGAAGAGAGGGAATGAAATACCTAACAGATAATTTAATTTTGAATTAATGTAGAAAGTAGTTTATTTTAAAAATTCAAGTAAATATGAGTGCTGCAGTACAGAAGCATCTGTTAAGAGACCCTCTCTGAGATTGACTACCAGTAACTAAAATAAATGGGAGCCCTTTTTGATATTTTGGCCCTGTAAACTCAGCATTTGTCATTAAACTTTCACGTTGGACTGTGTGTTGAAATTCATTCTACAGCCGTAACTGCAGGAAAATTTAAATAAGATGTAGTTGGTTTCCGCTTTCTGTATTTAAATTGTAAGAGCATTGTTTACCTTTATCCCATCTAACATTTTAGCCCTTAACATCTATAGGAATTTTTTTTTCATAAAATATATTCAACTTGTGATCACTCAGTGGATTATCTTAAATGGCCCCTGGTCATATTTAAGGCTTTTTTGGCCATACCATTGTACATATCACCTTCATCCAAGATGGAAAGAAGAGAGTAAAATTTATAGCAGATGTTTTTATTTTTTATTTATTTGAAATGCAAAGTTAAGAGGAGAGACAGAGAAATCTTCCATCTGCTGGTTCACTCCCCAAATGGCTGCAACAGCAGAGGCTGGGCCAGGCCAAAGCCAGGATCCCAGAGCTTCTACAAGGTCTCCCACCTAGGTGCAGGGGCCCAAGGACTTAGGCCATCTTTGCTGCTTTCTCAGGTACCTTAGCAGGGAGCTAGATCTGAAGTAGAGCAGCCGAGTCTTAAATCAAGCCATATAGGATGTCAGTGTTACAGGTGAAGATTTAACTTGCTACACCACAGTGCCGGCCTCTCATTTATTTTTGACATCAGCTCAATATGAGATAACTAACTAAAGGAAACATCTCCAACAAGGTCAAGTCGGCATCTTTTCCTCTTCTAAGGTTTAGGTTTCACCCAGAATTCCTGATACTTGGAATAGCCCATACCAAGATTCATTGCTCCTACAACAAAGCATATGTGCATTTGCTAGAATATAGCATGTTTGAAAAGCTGTAATTTGGAGACCTAGAATTGCTGGAGATACAGATACAAGGATAGGATATAAAGAACCTCATGTACCAGGCTAATGAGATTAGATTTTATACCTCTTTTGGTGGAAACCTATTGTGTATTTTTAACTTTTAGATTGATTTCAGATTTTCGTTTTAGAAACTCGGGCTGTAGCAGTGTAGAAGATGGATTGAGAGGCTAAAATTAGAGGTTGTTGCAGTGTCCATGTGAAAGAAGATAGGGGAAGTGATAGAAAGTACAAGGAAAATGGAATATATTTAAGAGATCTTTAGGAGGATAAACTCAACAAGACCTAGTGACTAGTCTGGATATAAAGTGTGTAGGAAGAGTAGGCAAGGAGGTGTCTGGCTTAGATAGCTGTATAGATGGTAGTGGCATAACAGCGTACTCAGTGTAGGGTCGAGTGAGGAAGGCAAAATAGCCATTTGGGGAGTGAACCAGCAATTGAAAGATCTCTTTCTCTGTCTCTCTCCTTCTCTCTGTAACTTTGCCTTTCAAATAAATAAATAATAATAAATAAAACCTGAAGAAACAGATTACCTATTAGTTGATTTTATAAATTGTAAGCTAACGCTAATTATTTTTGATAATTTTTTTCCTAGGAGTATGAAAATTCTGAAAATGTTTCAACTCAGTCAAAAGTTATGAATAAAAAAGATAAAAAAAAGAACCATCAGGGAAAAGATAAACCTCTCACAGTATCACTAAAAGATTTTCAATCAGAAGGTAATGTATGTATAATATCTATTATGCTAAAACTGTATTAAGTCATTTTATATTTAAAAATTTTCAGAAGCAAGTGATTTTCAAAAGTAAGTGAAATTGTCTTGTTACAGAATTTCAACAATGTGAACCTCTTAGTCCATTTTGTATTGTTAAAGCAGAATATCTTGAAACAGGGTAATTGATAATAAACAGATATTTATTGGCTCTGGGAGCTGGTGCTGTGGCGTAGCAGTTTAAGCTGCCACGTACGATGCTGGCATCCCATATGGGCATTGATTTGAGTCCCAGCAGTTCCAGTTCCAATGCAGCTCTCTGCTGTGGCCTGGGAAAGCAGTAGAAGATGGCCCAAGTCCTTGGGCCCCTGCACCCATGAGGGAGACTCAAGAAGCTCCTGGCTTTGGATGGGCCCAGCTCCAGCTGTTGCAGCTATTTGGGGAGTGAAACAGCAGATGGAAGATATTCTCTCTCTCTCTGCCTCTACATCTCTGTAACTCTGCCTGTCAAATAAATAAATCTTTAAAAACAAACAAACAAATATTTATTGGCTCACGATTTTGGACACTAGAAAGTCTAAATTTGATGGTGAACTTTCTTGCTATTTCATCACCTGACTGAAGGCAAGAGGGCCAGAGAGCAAGAGGGGCCACACTCACCCATTTATAAAGTACTAGTCTCATTTAAGAGGGCAGAGTCCTCCTGACCTAGTTACCTCTTTTTGTTTTTGTTTTTGTTTTTGTTTTTTTTTAAAGATTTATTTTATTTATTTGAAAGACAGAGTTACAGAGAGGTAGAGACAGAGAGAGAGGTCTCCCATCCACTGGTTCACTCCCCAGATGACTGCAACAGACAGAGCTGCGCCAATCCGAAGCCAGGAGCCAGAAGTCTCCTCCAGGTCTCCCACGTGGGTGGAGGGGCCCAAGCACTTGGGCCATCCTCTACTGCTTTCCCAGGCCATAGCAGAGAGCTGGATTGGAAGAGGAACAGCCAGGACTTGAATCGGTGCACATATGGGATGCTGGCACTTCAGGCCAGGGCTTTTTAACCTGCTGTGCCACGGTGCCGGCCCCCCAGTTACCTCTTTTTTTTTTTTTTTTTTTTTTTTTGACAGGCAGAGTGGACAGTGAGAGAGAGAGACAGAGAGAAAGGTCTTCCTTTTACCGTTGGTTCACCCTCCAATGGCCGCCGCGGCCGGGCGGGGCCATGTGGCTGGCGCACCGCGGTATCCCGATGGGGGGGGCAGGGACTTATCCGGGTCCCCCATGGGGGGGAGGGCCCAAGCACTTGGGCAATCCTCCACTGCACTCCCGGCCAAAGAGAAAAGCTGGCTGGAAAAGGGCAACCGGAAAGAACCGGGCCCCCGACGGGAATAGAACCCGGGGTGCCGCCCCTCAAGGAAAAGATTACCTAGGGGGCTGCGGCCCGCCCCCAGTTACCTCTTACCTAAAACATAGCGGTAAATTTCAGGGTAATGTTGGGGGACAACCCTAAATATACATCTATTAGATAAATAAACCTTTGGGGTAAATATTAAACAGCATAAACCTCTGCACTCGAGAATTCTTGTTTTTTCTGAATTTGTCCCTTTTCTTAGACTTACTGAAAATAAAAACAGTAGGTTTTAATGATTTTGAAACACATATGTAGTGATTTGGCTTATATGAAGCCAAAAATAGAATCTTTAGATTTCTTAATTTTTGTTCAACTTCTGCAAGTTATCTAGCATTGCATCTTAGAAAATTAAAATGCAAATTTTAAAATGAGAGCTATTGCCAGAAAGTTGTTTATAAAAACATCATTTGTATTTATTACAGAAAATAGAATTATACAAACTACTAAACTTTTAAAGACATACCACAAAAGATACTATTTTTAATGTGGGAAATGGCAAAAAATGCTTACCCTGTGCTCTGCACTATGATATCCAATTTATATATAAATTCAAGTAGAAATCATAAGCCTTAGCTGCATTTTAAGTGCTCAGTAGCCACTGTGAGTGCATGCTTCTTTATAAGCCTTGCTAGAGAAAGTGGTTGTCATCCCACAAAGTTTTATTGAACAGTGCTGTGTATCAGGATGGTTGCTGCCATTTGAACAGCTGTTTTGTTCATTGACAGGGAGGTTTATTTGAGACGTGTGAATTTAACCTTAATACATTGAGTATTCTATGAAGATAAGTAATATAGAATAATAAAAAATTAAAATCAGAAAAAAAGCCCTGTGTGAAATTAGGAATATATTTAAGAGGACTGTATTCTTTTCCTTTGAGAATCAGGTTTTTCCTGTGGCCTGCTGTATTTTGGAGTTGAAATCTTCTTAAAATAAGATTTCCTAAGTCAAGCACAGAAAGACAAATACCTGATGTTTCCATTTATATGTGGAAGCTAATAGTTGATCTCAAAGAAGTAGAGAATAGAATAGTGGTTACCAGAAACAGAGAAGGACGTGGGAAAAGGAGGGAAGGAAAAGGATGTTTAAGGACCGGTGCTGTGGCAGAGCAGGTAAAGTGGCCACCTGCAATGCCAGCATCCCATATGGACACCGGTTCTAGTCTTGGCTGCTATGTTCCAATCTGTTTTAGTCCTGGATATGTTCCAATCCAGCTCCCTGCTATGGCCTGGGAAAGCAGTAGAAGATGCCCAAGTCCTTGGGCCCCTGCACCCACATGGGAGACCAGGAAGAAGCTCCTAATTCCTGGCTTCGCATCAGCACAGCTCTGACAGTTGTGGCCATTTGGGGGAGTGAACCAGCAGATAGAAGACCTCTTTCTCTGTCTCTGCCTCTCTGTAACTCTGCCTTTCAAATAAATAAATAAATCTTAAAAAAAAAAAAAAAAGAATGTTTAGTAGGCATGGAATGTTCTGTAGCACAGAACTATTATTGACAGTTAATTGAATATTTTGAAATAACTAGTGGAAAGGATTTTGAATGTTCCCAATACAAAGAAATGATAAATGTTTGAAGTGATAATGCCCATTACCATGATCTGATCATTACATATTTAAATTATATATTATATTAAAATGTCACACTGTACCACATAAACATGTGCAGTGTCAATTAAAAATAGAAATATATTTTAAAAGTAAGATGAAATCCCAAGCTTAGTAAGAAAGACTGCATAAGAGAAATATGTTATATAAGAAAAAACAAGGTAAAAGCAAGAAAAGAATGCTTTTGTAAACTCTTGTTTTCTTTCTGAAGTAGTATGTAGCTTCATTAGCTGCATTGAGAAAAATATCACTATTACAGTGTAATGGAAGCTACACAATGCTGGCAAGTCACGACTAACACAGTTGTGAGTCTTCCTTGGGTTCTGGCATCTCATTCTATGCTAAGGAGACCTGGAAGAATGATGGTGTAACCTGCCAGGACTTGGTAGTTTGATCTGAACCTTGTGATTTGGGGATTTACTGTGTTTATGGACTCCATTCTGATTATACATCCTTTACAGAACTGGACCAGCTTTTAGATTCTCAGACATAAGAAAACTAGTAAATTATTTTTAGTTCTTAAGAATGGAAAATTTCTGGGACCAGTGTTGTGGCATAGCAGGTAGAGCTACAAACTGCGATGCCAGATTCCCATATGGGTGCTAGTTTGTGTCCCAGCTGCCCCCTTTCTGCTCTAGCTCCCTGCTAGTGGCCTGGGAAAAGCAGCAGAATATCGCCCAAGTGTTTGGGCCCCTGCCACCCATGTGCAGGACCTGGATAAAGCTCATGATTCCTGGCTTCAGCCTGGCCCAGCCAGAGCCATTTCAGCCATCTGGGGAGTGAACCAACAGGTAGAAGATAGCTCTGTGTGTCTCTCCTTCTCTCTCTCTGACTGACTGCTAAATAAATAAATACATCTTTAAATAAAACAAAAAGAAAGGAACATTTCTGCTGTACACAAGAAGCATTGTTAAGTAGGTGGCATCCTGACCATCTCAAGTAAGTAAAAATACTTGGCTCTGCTCCTTCTGTATACTTTAGATTCAACCTTGTTATTTGTGTATATTCCCTTGTGCCTTCCTGTCCTCATTCTGCCATCAGTAATGCCTTTCCAGAAATGCTGTGTTGTTTTTAAGTTGATAATTTCTTACATCCAGATATATTTTGGGGGGTTATTGTTTGTATTTATTCCATAAATATGTATCAGCTTTTAGAGTTTTTACACAGTATTGTCAAGTCACTGTGATATATGTTCTTAAAATAGCTAATAATTTTAAAAGGCATAAATTACTATCTGGTTATTTATTTTTATTTATTAAGATATGTTTATTTGTTTGAAAGGCAAGTTAGAGAGATATCTTCCATCCACTGGTTCACTCCCTAAATGGCTGCAATGGCTGAGGCTGGGCCAGACTGAAGCCAGGATTCTAAACTCTTTCTGGGTGTCCTACACAGGTGCAGGGGCCAAAACACTTGGGCCATCTTCCACTGCTTTCCCAGGCCCATTAGCAGGGAGCTGGATTGGAAGTGGAACAGCCGGGATTTGAACTGGCATTCATGGGAAGCCAGCATTCCTGGCAGCAGCTTCCCTACTGTGCCATGATTCCGGTCTCACTATTCTACTTTTTAAAATTCATTCTGCGAGACCAGTAATCTAAACATTATTTTTACAGCTCTAGAATTTGTGGTTTTATTTTGGACATATTTGTGTCCACTCAATTTGTTCCACCCCCCCACCCCAAAATATATTTGATATGAAATAACTGGGTACATTTGGCCTAGTGTTTGATACGCCATTGAGGACACCTGCTTCTTATTCCAACCTCCTGCTGATTGTGGCCTGGGAAGCAGCAGGTGATGGCTCAGATGTGTGTGTCCTTGCCACCCACGGGGGACTGGATTGAGTTCTCTACTTCAGGCTTCAGCCTGAACCAGCTCCAGCCTTTGCAGACGTTTGGGGAGTAACTGGCATATGGGGGCACTTTCTCTCAAATAAAGTAAATAAAAATTTCAAAAAGGAACCAGATTGCTAAATTATATAATATTCACATGATTAAGTTACCCTTGGTATGGGTTGCATTTTCTAGTACATAAACCAAGCAAATTAGTAATTATATACTAAATCTTAAGTCTAGAAAATCTGATGTGAGTACCCAAAAACTCATTCCATAGCTTTTTTCTTTTAAAGTCTGCCTCCATGAAGTAGACCTTCAAGTGGAAGGTGATAACACATTCTTCTTAAAGATTTATTTTAGTTATTTGAAAGACTTACAGAGAGAGGTAGAGACAGAAAGACTGGTCTTCCACCTGCTGGTTCACTCCCCTAGATGGGTGCAACGGCCGGAGCTGTGCTGATCCGAAGCCAGGAGCTTCTTCCAGGTCTCCTACGCAGGTGCAGGGGCCCAAGAACTTGGGCCATCTTCTGCTGCTTTCCCAGGCCATAGCAGAGAGCTGAATCGGAAGAGGAGCAGCCGGGACTCGAACTGGCGACCATATGGGATGCCGGCGCTTCAGGCCAGGGCTTTAACCCGCTGCGCCACAACGCCAGCCCCCTAACTTTTTTTTTTTAAGATTTATTTATTTATCTGAAAGGCAGAGTTACAGAAAGAGAGAGAGGTCTTCCATCTGCTGAATCTGGGCCGATCTGAAGCCAGGAGCTTGGAGCCTCTTCCAGGTCTCCCTCATGGGTGCAAGGCCCAGGAACCTATTTGGTGGTTTCCTGCTCCACTGCTTTCCAAGGCACACCACCAAGGAGCTGGATCAGAAGTAGAATAGCTGAGTCCAGCCAGGGCCTATATGGGATGCTGGCACTGCAGGCAGCAGCTTTACCTGCTATGACATGGCTCAGGCCCCTGTAACTCTTTTATTATTTATTTATTTATTTGTTTATTTAGGTAGGTAGGTAGGTAGGTAGGTAGCACAGGCCCCTGTAACTCTTTTATTATGTATGTATGTATTTGAAAGAGTTACACAAAGAGAGAAGGAGAGGCAGAGAGAGAGGTCTTCCATCTGCTTGTTCACTCCCCAATTGGCTGCAATGGCCAGAGCTAAGCCGATCCAAAGCCAGAAGCCAGGAGCTTCCTCTGGGTCTCCCATGTGAGTGCAGGGGCCCAAGGACTTGGGCCATCTTCTACTGCTTCCCAGGCCATAGCAGAGAGCTGGACCGGAAGAGGAGCAGCTAGAACTTGAACCGGCACCCATATGGAATGTCGGTGCTGCAGGCAGCGGCTTTACCTGCTATGCCATATGCCGCCCACCCCCCCCCCCCATAACTCTTATTATAGTTTTGAAATTCTTTTACTTTGTTGTTTTTACATGTTTAAGCATTTTATATGTTAGTTTCCTTCAATGAAGTCTCACTTTTTTTTTCTTTTACAGATCACATTAGTAAAAAGACTGAGGTAAGTTTTAACTATCTTTTATTTGATTTTAAGAATAATATTTAGCAGTAAATCTTTTTTGAGACATAGACATTTAAAAGAAACCTAAAGGTTGTCTTAAATGAACCCAGTCATGTTTCTGGCATTGTAAAAATGTAAAATATAGAAGAAAAATATGATTATTTACATGAAATATATCATTTGGTTTTATTCTCATTTGTGTGTGTGATCTAAAAAGTTGCCACTTTCAGGGAAAGATTTCAGGGAAGAGTAATTTAATTTTCAACTGTATATTTTAATCTTTGTGAAAAACTTACCTTGAGACTGTCTCATGTTTGGAATTATGGAAATTGTAAGGTGCGCTATGATTCTGTAGATATACCCATGGGTAAGAGTAATCTAATTATACTTCTCGTACTGTTCACCAGTAGGGGGTGGTATAGCCTGCATACCTTCCTAGTGTTAGGGATTTTTTTAAGATTAGTCCAGTGTCTACAGACCTTTTAAAATTGGAGATGATACTATTATAAGATATCATCTAACATTAATGGAGATACTAATAAATGATTATAATTCTTTTGATATCTTTAGGTAATAATTTCAGAGTTTCATTATTTTTCTATTATGCATTCTTGTCAGTAATTCCATTAATAAAATTTTTTATGATCACATGTTCCTTGCATTCACTTTGGATATAGTATTACATAGTATTATATACATAGCATCTGACTGTGTTTTGGTTTCAGGTATTTGCTTGTCAGGTTAGGAAAATGTACTCTCTTTCTTAAGATAAAACATGCATCTAAATAATTTTATGATTGTATTGATAATATAGTCCTTAACTTTGCATGCAAACACAAAATTAATTTGTTATTAAAATGAATGGTTGACATTCTTAAGTTGGTTACAAACCATTGTTACCATTTCTTAGGTTAAATTTTAAATGACCACATAAATAAACAGGACGGTTTTATGCACGTGAGAAGACAGGCACAGATGGTATACCCTGTTTCTAGGAGACTACTAGCAACTGTTAGTGGAGGAAAAAATAATTCCATAACCTGTTCTATTTTTTTTCTTCTTTTCTGAAGTGAACAGAAAATGGAGACTACCAGGCCCTTATGTATTGAATACATTCAAGAGGAGTTGTATTTAAATAAGAGTCTGTTTTTTGTGTGTGTGTGTGTTTTTTTTTTTTTTTTGGACAGGCAGAGTTAGTGAGAGAGAGAGACAGAGAGATAGGTCTTCCTTTTTCCATTGGTTCACCCCACGAATGGCCGCTACGGCCAGCGTGCTGCGCCGATCCGAAGCCAGGAGCCAGGTGCTTCCTCCTGGTCTCCCATGCGGGTGCAGGACCCAAATCCCTGGGCCATCGTCCACTGCACTCCCTGACCACAGCAGAGAGCTGGCCTGGAAGAGGGGCAACCGGGACAGAATCTGGCGCCCCGACCAGGACTAGAACCTGATGTGCCAGCGCCGCAAGGCGGAGGATTAGCCTAGTGAGCCGCGGCGCCGGCCAGTAGTATAACATTCTTAGCCATTGGTTTCACAAAGGTATAAAACAGTTTTACAAAACCATATATGCAGCATTACTGATACACATAGACCTTTTTTCACAAATTTTATAGATTTTTAAAAACATGAAAATTGTACATATTTATAGCTTATTATGTGATATTTTGTTAGTGTATACATTGTATAATATCCAATCGGGGCAAATAACATTTATCTTTGCAAACATTTAACATTTCTTTAGAGTGAAAGCATCCAAAATCCTATCTTTTAGCTTTTTGTTTGTTTTGAAAGACAGATTTAGAGAACAAGAAACAGAGAGAAAGATCTTCCACCCGCTGATTCACTGCCCCAGTGGCTGCAACTGCTAGGATTGGGCCAAGAGCCAAGAGCTTTATCCTCTTGGTTACAGGAGCCCAAGCACTTGGACCATCTTCCACTACTTTCTCAGGTCATTAGCATAGAACTGAGTAGGAAGTAGAGAAATCAGAACATAAACCAGCACCCATATGGGATGCCAGTGTATCAGGTCGCAGCTTAACCAACTGTGCCACGGTGCCAGCCCCATTCTAGGTTTTTTAATTTTTTTTTTTTTTTTTGACAGGCAGAGTGGACAGTGAGAGAGACAGAGGGAAAGGTCTTCCTTTTGCCGTTGGTTCACCCTCCAATGGCTGCTGCTGCCAGCGCGCTGCGGCCGGCGTGCTGCGGCCAGCACACTGCGCTGATCCGATGGCAGGAGCCAGGTACTTATCCTGGTCTCCCATGGGGTGCAGGGCCCAAGTACTTGGGCCATCCTCCACTGCACTCCCTGGCCACAGCAGAGAGCTGGCCTGGAAGAGGGGCAACCGGGACAGAATCCGGCGCCCCGACTGGGACTAGAACCCAGTGTGCCGGCTCCGCAAGGCGGAGGATTAGCCTAGTGAGCCGCGGCGCCGGCCTCTAGGTTTTTTAAATACAGAAATATATATTACATTAATATCTCTAGTCACTGTACTCTGCAATAAAACCTCAGACCTTCTTACTCAATTCTCACTATAGCCTAGTACCTGTTAATTAATTTTTCCTCATCTCTTTCACCCATCTTCCTTCCCCAGCCTCTGGGGTAACCATTACGTTTTTAAAATTTAAGAGATAACCTGGGGGCTCGCACTGTGGTGTAGTGGGTAAAGTTGCCACCTGCAGTGCCGGCATCCCATGTGAGTGTCAGTTCTAGTCCTGACTGCTCCACTTCCAATCCAGCTCTCTGCTGTGGCCTGGGAAAGTAGTGGAAGATGGCCCAGGTCCTTGGGCCTCTGCACCGGTGTCGGGGACCGGGAGGAAGCTCCTGGCTTCAAATCAGCGCAGCTCCAGCAGTTGCAGCCAATTGGGGAGTGAACCAACAGATGGAAGACCTCTCTCTCTTTCTTTGTCTCTGCCTCTCCTTCTCTCTATGTGTAGCTCTTTCAAATAAATAAATAATTCTTTTAAAAAAAAGATAACCTATTTATTATTAGTGAGATTGTGTGGCTTTTTCTGTTGTTATATATTTGAATATAGTTTCGACCTCTTTGGCACCCTCAAAGTTCCTCTTGAATCTTAATAACAAATACTTAGTCTTTTCATGTTACCCGTATTTCCTATAAGCCTTTTTCATCCTTAATTCTTTCTCCAACTATTTTCAAATAGCCCATGAGCTCATTGATTTTTCTGTTCGCTGTATTCTGCTATTGATGCTTTCCTTCACATTTTAAATTTTACTTAGTATACTTTTCAGTTGAAGGATTTTTGCTTAATTTTGTTTAATTACATCATCACTCTATCAAGTCTCTTAGAATAGTGATTCATCTTTCTGTGCTCTCTTGAGTTTTGCTGAGTTTCCTTAAAACAGCTATTTTGAAGTCTTCATTCAAGCATTTGGAAATCTCATTTCCTAGTGGTCGGTTTCTGGCACCTTATTTTGACTTAAGGTGAAGCTTTAGTTCCCTGAAGTTCTTGAACACTGAAGGATTATAATAATATGGCTTTCTTTATAGCTATGCTTCTAAAAATTCTAAGCAGTCTGTTTATTTTCTCTGTGCCTAAGGACACTTTTGGTGTTTCAACACTAGAAAGCACCCTAAACTGGTTTACCTAGGTTCTTTGTTGATATGTTTTTACTGATCCAGTCATAAAATACTTTCCAAACTCAAATTTGTCCTAAATCTGCAACTGATGTGTTGTTTAGTATCAGCTGGGGAAATGCCTAAAAGGGGTAGTCTGTCCCTGCAAGCCTTTTCCTGGGCCTATGGTAGGTTCAGGCTCCTTGTCCTGTGTCCATAAATGCCATAAAACTAAATGGCATGCAGAGCCGTCAGCCCACCAAGATCAGTGTAGCTTGTGGGGTAAAACCAAAGCTTACCCTGCTATGGCCTGTCTGTTGCTGAGGTGGGCTTATTGCCCCACTGGTATTGTTGGCTGGGATAAAATACTACTCAAACTGGGACTGCACAACTCTCCTGAGCACTGAAACAGTCTAGAGATCTATCTGCAGGCACTAACCTGGGGACAAGGGACCATTAGGATCTGCCCAGTTAATGGATGTTATCAGGCTAACATTGAGTCCTGTGATTCCATGTTATCCGCCGATGGTTGTGGGGATGGAGGAGGATGATAGAGGCAGCCCCTCAGCTATTCAGGCAGCCCCTAAGTGTGTCACACCTGGATCTCACAGTCACCAGGCCTGCAGAGGCTGGTGATGACACACACCAGACCATGTCTGTCTCACCAGGGTATAGTTCTCTGCCTGAAACTGGGGCAAGTCCAGAGACTCTGTCGATAGGCCCTGCCCTTAGGACAGATACCATTAGGATATGCCCAGCTGTCTTTTCAAGGTTGGAGGAGAGTGATAAAGGCCACCCAGACAGGGCCTAGGCTGGTCACACCTGATTCTCAGTCACAGGTCCCTACAAAGTCCCAGGGGTGTCCATTAAGCCCACCCCCAGCTCACGTCTCTGCCTAATGCGAGGCAGAGCTGCAGGGGCCAGAGGCCTTTAGGCTTTATCAGGTACTGGGTCTCAATATGGTAGGCCCAGCTCTGAGATCCCTCTCCTGATGTCTTTAGGCTGGTAGTTGGGGGACGAGTGGCAGAGGTCATCTGGCTGTGGAGGCTCGAAACATTCACTCAAAATATATGGGCCTGGCGGTCAGGAATGCTCAGTCTGACTGATTTTTTAAGATTTATTTTATTTATTTAAAAGGCAGAATTATATATAGAGAGGGAGATATGGAGAGAGATCTTCCATCCGCTGGTTCACTCCCCAGATGGCTGCAACAGCCAGGGCTGGGCCAGACCAAAGCTAGGAGCCTGGAACTTCTTCCAGGTCTCCTGTGTGACCCCTACTTTTGGGCTGTCTTCCTTTGCTTTCCCAAGCACATCAGCAGGGAGCTGGATTTGAAGTGGAGCAGCCGGAACTTGAACTGGCACCCATGCGGGATACCAGTGCTGTAGGTAGGGGCTTTACCCAGTACACCACAACGCCAGGCCCTCGCTG